CCCTGCCTAGAATCCCCCAGTGAGGGGCTGGAGGTGTGGCTCAGTGGTAGAGCCCCTGCCTAGAATCCCCCAGTGAGGGGCTGGAGGTGTGGCTCAGTGGTGGAGCCCCTGCCTAGCATGTATGTGGCACCTTCTTTAATCCTCATTACAGCAATAAACAAAACAAAACAAAAATCAACAACAAAACATCTGGTGGTGTCTCCTGATCCCTAGTAAACATTCATTAAAGTAACAATTATTTCAGCCTCAGTTCAATATCACATGATAGGCGATGGAAAGAGTCTTTGTCCCAAACTTTTTGTTTTGGTTTGGTTTTTTCTCTTTCAAGACAGGCTTTCCCTGTGTAGCCCTAGCCGGCTTTGAACTTCCTATGTAAACCAGGCTGGCCTCAAACTCACAGAGATCCGCCTGCTTCTGCCTTTCCAGTGCTGGGATTAAAGGCGGGCACCACCACTGCCTGGCTATCCCAAACTTTTCTAGAATGGCTTCGGACTTCTATGTAGCTTATGGACGTGGACAGAGTTTTGAAGGAATTGGTATTTTGGAGCCTTAATGGCTGTTGAGAGTCCCGGCTTCCCTGAGGGTGGGGCCTGGAGGGGCGTGGCCTGAAGGGTCTGAGCAAGTTCTCCATCCAGGCAGGCACCCTGCTCCGGCCGGCACCATGGACAGCGAAGCATTCCAGAATGCGAGGGATCTTCTGGATCTGAACTTCCAGTGTGAGCTGGGGGCAGGGGCGGATGGGCGGGGCCCGGCAAGGGGCGGGCCGGGGCGGAGGGGGCGCGGTCCTGACCTCCGCTCCCACCCACCCAGCGCTGGCCATGAAGCACATGGATCTGAAGCAGATGGAGCTGGACACCGCGGCCGCCAAAGTGGACGAACTGACCAAGCAGTTAGAGTCCCTGTGGTCAGACTCGCCAGCGCCTCCTGGCCCACAGGCTGGAGTTCCCCCTAGGGTGAGCGTGGTGACCCCCAAAGCCAGCTGCTCTCCATGCCCCAGGGAAGGCTTGAGTTTGTAAGGGTGTGCAGGTTGTGAGGTATGCAAGGCCATCTAGAAGAGAGGCGTGGAGAGCAGGCTGGTAATCCCTGCACTAGGGAAACTAAGGCAGAAGGATCAATTAATTCAGTGCCAGCCTCTCTACTTCGTAGTGAGTTCAAGGAGGCTGGCTAAATTGGTAAAATGTTTGCCTAGCATGAGTGAAGGTCTGGGTTCCGTCTCCCATACGGTATAAAATCAAGGCTTGCGGCACACACCTGTTATACTGGAGAGGCCGAGGCAGGAAGATAAGGAATTCACGGCCACCCTCAGCTACATGGAGACCTCCAGGCTAGCCTGAGTTTCGTGAGAGAACCTGTCTCAAAAATAATTTGTTTGTTTGGTTTTGGTTTTTTTCAAGACAGAGTTTCTCTGTGTAGTTTTGGTGCCTGTCCTGGATCTCGCTCTGTAGCCCAGGCTGGCCTTGAACTCACAGAGATTTGCCTGGCTCTGCCTCTCAGTGCTGGGATTAAAAGCGTGCGCCACCACCGCCCAGCATTGTTTATTATTTTTTAAGACAGAGTCTCGCCAGGGCGGTGGTGGCGCACACCTTTAATCCCAGCACTCGGGAGGCAGAGGTGGGCGGATCTCTGTGAGTTCAAGTCCAGCCTGGACTACAGAGTGAGTTCCAGGAAAGGCGGAAAGCTACACAGAGAAACCCTGTCTCAGAAAAAAAAAAAAAAAAAAAAAAGACAGAGTCTCAGTATGTAGCCCTAGCTAGCGTGGAACTCACAGAGATCCACCTGCAAATGCTGGAATTAAAGGTGTGAGCCTGCCTACTCCCCACCCCACCCCAACCCCCGACACACAGGCAGGCAGGCAGGCAGAGACACGGTTTCTCTGTGTACAATCCAGACTGTCCTGGAACTCATGCTGTAGACCAGGCTAGCCTCAAACTCACAGAGATCCACTGCCTGTGCTTCCCAAGTGCTGGGATTAACGTGGGGGGAAAAAAGTGAAAACTCACATGAAGCAAAAGGCCTTTTCTTAAGTCATAGAAAGAACCAGTAACAAGCTAGACCCCCCCCCCCCCTGTGCCCAGGCTTTGCCCACACTCGGTACCTCGTGCTCGAAGTCAGCAGGCCCAATCTGAGTCTCTGCATTGACTTTCCATCACCTACGCTGATCTCCCCCACTGACCCCCTATTGTCTCCTCTGACTCTTCCATGCCCGACTTCCCCACAGATGTCCCGGTACAGCACCAGCCCCATCCCGGAGCATTTTGGTAGCAGAGGGTCCCCCCAGAAGACATCCACCGATGGCACAGAGGCCCGTTTTGGACGCTCGGAGAGTGCCCCGTCCCTGCACCCCTACAGCCCTCTGTCCCCCAAGGGCCGGCCGTCCTCCCCACGCACCCCCATCTACCTGCAGCCCGATGCCTACAGCAGCCTGGAGCGCGCGCCATCGCCCAGACCCCGCGCCTTTGACGGGGCGGGCAGTCCCCATGGCCGGGCGCCGTCCCCGCGGCCGGTGACTGGCTCACTGCGCCAGCCGGGCCCTCCGACGCCCTTCGACTACCTGGGCCGCTCAGGGTCCCCCCGGGGCAGCCCTCTAGCCGAGGGGCCCCAAGCCTTCTTCCCAGAACGGGGACCTTCCCCACGGCCACCCGCTGCAGGCTACGACGCACCGGCTGCGTTCGGGAGCCCCCTGCTGGGCGCGGGTGGCAGCGCCTTCGCCCCGCCGCTCCGCGCACAAGGTGCACAGGGACCCGCTCTTAGGGAGGTTGGCCGGGTCTAGTCTATGCTTACACCCTCACTCACGCCCCCGTCCCCCCAGACGACCTGACGCTGCGCCGGAGGCCCCCGAAAGCCTGGAACGAGTCTGACTTAGACGTAGCTTATGAGAAAAAGCCTTCACAGACAGCGAGCTATGAACGTGAGTGACAGAGTATGGGGTGACCTGGAGGACGGGTCTGGAGTCCATCCTAACGATGTGTGTTTTGCAGGGCTGGATGTCTTCACACGGCCTGCCTCGCCGGGCCTGCAGCTCTTACCCTGGAGAGAGAGCAGCCTGGATGGGCTGGGGGGCAGTGGCAAGGTGAGGGGCAGGTGGGCAGCACAGATGTGAAGGTGGAGGGTCCGTGCGTGCGCGTGTGTGTGTGCGTGTGTGTGTGTGTGTGTGTGTGTGTGTGTGTGTGTGTGTGTGTGTGTTTTCTATAGTCCACACTGGTCTTACAGTCAAGGCAGTCCTCCTGCCCCAGCCTCTCCTGTTGGGACCACTGGTGTGGGCCATCACAGACACGTTCTTGCCTTTCCCTCACCCCCTTGCCCCGAACCTAAGTTCCTTCCTCTCCCCTTTCTCTCTCCCCCGCCGCAGGACAACATCACCAGCGCCACATTGCCACGCAATTACAAGGTGTCCCCTCTGGCCACCGACAGGCGTTCTGACATCGGCAGTTACCGCCGCTCTATGGGCTCGGCAGGGCCCTCAGGCACTTTGCCCCGCAGCTGGCAGCCCGTCAGCCGCATCCCCATGCCCCCGTCCAGCCCCCAGCCCCGCAACACACTGCGCCAGCGCCCCATACCCCTCAGCATGATCTTTAAGCTCCAGAATGCTTTCTGGGAACATGGAGCCAGCAGGGCTGTGCTCCCGGGATCCCCCATCTTCTCCCGAGCACCCCCACCTAAGCTGCCTCCCCAGCCACCCCCTCAGCCACCCCCCCAGCCCCAACCTCAGGTGCCCCCCCAGTCCCAGGCCCAGCCTCAGACTCCGGCACCTCAACAGACTTGGCCTCCCGTGAATGAAGGTGAGTCAGCTGAAGGGGTCCCACCACAAATGATGGGGACCAGAGCAGCTGGGCAGCCAGGGCAGCCAAGCCTGAGTCCAGACACTGTCCCTGCAGAGAGCCAGGCCAGATAAACCTGGAATGCACACAGGAGCCAGGGTTACGTGGAGGTTGAGCCAAGTCCCATGCTGGGAAGCTCGGGGCATGCACTTTAATAACCTCTCTGAACCTTGTGTCCCCTGAGTGCGAAAGCTGAATCCCGAGGAAGCCCTATCTTTTGGGACATGGTACTAAAGCCATATCAAGTCTTGAAAATAAGGCCCAGTGCACAGTAAGTGCAGGTTGCCCTGTGAAAAGAGCGTCGCAGTATTTACCTTGTAGGTTTGTGCCAGACATTGCGATGGTGGATAAAGACCAGTTTAATGTTTTCACCTGCTTCTGAAGCACCACTGTGGAGGGAGGGGATATAAAACAGAGAAGAGACCCTGGAACACTAGGCTTCTGCTCTGGAATTTTCTGCATAAGATGTTAGGGAGTGAAATTCTTAGCATCCTAGAAAACCAAGTTTATTGTGGGAGTGCAGATTCCAGCTGTGTGACTTGGGGCAAGTGACTTTCCCTCTCTGAGCCTCAGATTCCTTTCTGTAAAATGGAGATGATCACTCATCTCCACAATGTAGAAGGGTGATGGGTATGTAGGGCCGAGGTGGTAGTTCAGTGCATAGAATGTCTATCATCTGCCCTGGGTTCAATGCTCAGCGCCATAAATAAATAAACCTGGCATATAGGGGATACCTTAACATTATATTATGTACAGCCCAGGTAAAGTGTAGTCTAGAGAGGTCACACCGCGCAGGAGCTGGTTACATCCTGGAAGTTACAGATCTTGGGAAACTCCTGGTTACTCTTCCTCTGATGGGGCTCTTGTTCTTTCCAGGCCTCCTCAAACCCCCTGCCGAGCTGGAGCCAGAGCCAGAGCTAGAGGGGCTACTGGCTCCCGTGCTGGAGGCCGGGGACACAGATGAAGGCACCGTCACTCGGCCTCTCAGCCCTACCAGGCTACAGCCAGCGTTGCCGCCCGAGGCACAGACGGTGCCTGAGCTGGAGGAGGTGGCCCGAGTGCTGGCAGAGATTCCTCGGCCCCTCAAACGCAGAGGCTCCATGGAGCAGAGCCCTGCTGTGGCCCTGCCCCCCACCCACAAGAAACAATACCAACTGATCATCAACAGACTGTTCCATCGGCATGGTGGCCCAGGGCCTGGCGGGCCTGAGCCAGAGCTGTCCACAATCACAGAGGGATCTGAGGCCAGGGCAGGGCCCCCTGCTCCCGCCCCACCAGCTCCCATCCCACCCCCAGCCCCACCCCAGACCAGTCTTCCAGAGCAGCCTCAGAGCATGGTAAGTCACTGGAGGACAGGACGGTGTGTGCTCATCTCTGATACAGTTACTTTAACAAAAAGTCTTCACCATATAGTGGTTTAAATGAAACCTAGTGTTGCACCCACGCTATCCCCTGGCTACACCACATCCATTGAGATTAGCCTGACTTCATGACCCAAGATGGCACCCATCTTGCTGCAATGGAGCCTGGGAAATGTAGTCTTTTGTATAGATAGGGCTGGGCTCAGGGAAAAAGGGAGAGACTGGATAGATGGAGGGGTGACCTGGCACCTTGGCTTCATTTGTCTATGCCTTACCCCCAGCATTCTTTCATGAATCTCAATTTTATACCTGTGGTTGATGTGAGTTTTCAGTGTGACCATGGGTTTAATCTGAGACCTGGAGACAAGACAGTCTATGGTGCCTACTTTTTCTGGGCATCTGCTCTGTTTCCTTGTGAAGTAAGAGTCTCTGGTCCCCAAGACTTTGGTCATCAAGGTTTGTGTGCACCAACTGCAGAGTTTTCCATCTGTCCCCATGCCACTTAATCAGCTGTACATCCTAGGGCCAGGCACTTAGCCACTCTGTGTCTATGAAATGAGGGTAAGAATAGCAATGGCCAACTGATAGGTTTGCTGTGAGGATTGACTGCTTCCTGGGATGTAACTGTGACCCTCCCATTGTTAACACTGACCCAGGAATTCATTGGTGCTGTTTTGTTTGTTTGTTGTCATTGTGTGTATAATATTATTAGCAATAGCAAGTCCAGGAAAGATATTTTTGGCTCAGTTTGAGGGTACAGTCCATTGTGGCAGGGAAAGGGTAGCAGCAGGAACAGAAGGCAGCTGGTTACCTTGTCTCCACAGTCAAGAAGCAGACAGATACATGATGGTGATTTTGGCTCTCTTCTCCTTATTCAGTCTAGGACCCTGGCCCATAGAATGGTGGCACCAATCCAGGTGGGCCCACCTTAATTAACCCAATCTAGATACTCCTTTGCAGACCTAGCCAGAGATTTCTTTCCATGGTGATTCTACATGTGTTGTTTTTAATCTATTTTTTGGTGGGTTTTTTCTTTTTTTTTTTTT